GGATTTTGTCGTATTTCATTTGCACAATAAAAAATCCTTTCTTCCAATTCTTCTCTAGTGGTTACAGGTGTGGAATGAACAAGATTTTTCAAGTGATCCAAAAGAAAAAGTCAAGTGGGTTCATATCTGGAGTTCGGGCAGGCCAATGAATAGGTCCACCGCGACCTATCCAGCGATTAGGATATACCTCGTTTAAATGGTCCCCTACTGCAGCACTAAAGTGAGGCGGCGCCCCATCGTGCATGAATATCAGTGCATTTCTGGTTTCAAGATCAACGTCTTCTAACAGTTGTGGTAATTGATGCACATCTAGGTAACGTTGACCATTCAGTCTAGGGGGTGACACAAATGGACCCAATAAGTAAGGACCAATAATTCCACTCCAAACATTAACATAAAATTGTCTTTGGTGCCTAGTTTCAATAATAGGGTGTGGGTTCTCATCAGACCAATAATGTAAATTATGGGAGTTAATAACTCAATTCCTCCCAAAACTTGCTTCGTCAGTATACAGATTTAATCTCGTAAACATAGGATTTTGCTCATGTCGCAGAAGAAACCATTGAGTAAACTGTACTCTTGCACGAAAATCATCAGGATTAAGAGCATGCACTTTTTGGATATGGTAAGGGTGAAGAAGCTGTTCTCTAAGGAAGATAATGAACTAATGCTAACTGTTGGATGAGCAGCAACTTCATCCAGTATATTTTCCTCTACTTCAACCGTACGTGCTGTTCGCGGGGCACCCCTGTTTGCAATAACAGAAGCAAACTGACCTAAAGGCATTAAAATTTATTTAATATCCATATTGTTTAATAATAGTAATCGTATTTTACCAGTTTCTCTTAATCTTTGATCAATACTTTCGAAAGTTTTGCGATCCGGAATCCTTCTATTAGGATAAGAATGCTGATAAAATCTTCTTGCTGCCGAAGCATTACAAAGAGCCCGCCCGTACATTAAACGCATATCAGCATATTCTTCATTGGAATACTCCATATTTTATAACAAATTATGAGTTATGAGATGAGTCTTAGATTTAAAACTACGTATTTGACAAGTTTGACAACTGAATTGCCTTTGGCATACTCTGACATGTCAAAGCCAACTACGATTAAACCTGTATTTCTGTTAAATAAAATGTCTCAAATTAAATGGTACCTTCCTTTTTAAACGGGTTTATCTCAAAAAATATCTATTTTATGGATATTCAACAAGTATACCTTTTTTACGTAAGATACCATAAATATTTATAAAATGATGGGAAATTTGGGATATTGTGGAACAAACATTTTTTTTCTAGAAATTTTGGTGGGGGGTGCTTTTCCCCCGACCCCCAATAATTATTATCCATATTATCATCCAAGGCAGCTTAAAAAATTATAGATCCAGCCAAAAAAATTTTCAAAATTTATTGAAAAATACAAAAGTTACAGCAAAAAAACATTTTTAATTCTCAACTTCAAAAGCTAATAACTCTACAGGGTGAGTCCGGAGGAAAAATTTTTATATAAACTTGTGACATTATTTTCTCATTATCTATCGATATCCGAGAGATTGCCCACCATTTCCGGGACACCCTGTATGTCTAATATTTATATGAGCACCAATGTACTTTTTAGATAAACTTTTCTATGAAATCGCAAGCTTTTACTTGATGGCTAATACATCGAATACTAGTCATAATTTCATTTTTCTGTTCCATAATGTTCCATTATGTAACGAATTTATGAATTTATTGGGTACACCTGGAAATAAATAGTACAATACAAAAATATCAGAATACCTAACATCCAATAAGCCTAAAAACCTATATCTAGCCATATATATCATATATCAAGCCAAAATAATGAATGAATCCCACTTAAGTAAAACTTGTGTTGTGAGATAATATCACTTGTGTTGTGAGATAACATCATCAGATAACTTGTGTTGTGATATAACATTTTTTCTAATCGTGTTATNTATATATATCATATATAAAACTAACATCCCAAAATATTATAAGCGGGACTCTCAATGGAGATGCAAATCTTGATTTTCTTTTTCTTAGTCAAGACAAAATGTTGAAAAATAAGGAATTACCTACTTTGACCTTAATAATTGTTTTTGACTTTCTGGCTACGAAGGACGTACTCAGAACACTCTCCATTTTTGGAAGTTTAGTTATCAACATAGTCGCAATGGCTGTATCGGCGACACTGCAAAGTTGGTTAAAACCCATATGAAGAATTTTTTTTAAAATAGCACACAAAAAAAATTTATAAATGTTTTCGTAGCAGCATACTTAAGCAAATCGTGATCATTTTCCCCTTTTCTTCCACGATCAATCATCTTCAAATCAGATGTTTCGTATTTATAATCTAGGAAAGTTAGACATAAAAAGACGGAATAAATGAACTTTTTTACTCTGAGATTTTTTTATAGAAAAGTAGTACCTAGTAGGTTTTGAAGGTCAGAAAACATGTCTCACACTCAACCACCACCAACACAGCGTTTTGAAAAGATATAATAAACATGAACGGTGTTCCGTTCATGTTTCAAAAAAACTTGTGTGCAAGTTCCTAATGGTAAAATAATGGGGGTAGCTGATGTAACGTTTTTTTCTTAGACGCCCTGTTTTCGAGATACAGTGTGTTGAAGTTGTTACTTTCCAAATAGTTTTCCTAAATAATCTTCATTTAAATCGGCTAAAGATAAAAATGTCAAAATGTGTTCACGAGTAAACATCAACTGTGCGTTAAGAATAATGTGCAAACGGCTTCTTTCTGAAAAGCTGTGTCACCGATACAGATAATTGGAGGGGTACAATCGAAAAAAATATGTTAAAAGTAAAAATTTATCGCATTTCTAAACAGTTCTGTAAACTTTAAAGCATACTACAAAAAAGGTATACTTGTGGAAATTCGGTAGCATGTACCATTTTCGAGAAAAATAAAGTTACATTTTTTTTGCTCACATAAAACGACACAACAAACTGTCAAATTGAAAGAGGATTTTACAATTGAATGAGCTGAAGACATTTAGCTACCAACAGTATTTGCATTTAAGACTATAATTTTAATTTCTTACGTATCACATGATCAGATTGTTGTGAACTAACATTTAAAAAAGTAAATCAAAATAAACAGGTTATGGTAAATAATTATCTATTAAAAACTAATTTTAGATTTTACTACACTACCATTACTAAAATAGTTGAATGGACTGAATTGTTGAATGGACAGAATTGTTGATGGACATGAATGCTTAAAAAAACTTATAAGAACAGAAAAATATTAGGAAACAGACTCGGAGACATACAGAACGAAACAGCTGCACAATTAAATACATGAGCAAAACTCGAAATACTACAGTAGATGCTGAAATTGTCCCCCATTTGCTTCTATGCAACTTCATTTTTCTCGAAAATGGTACATGCTACCGCATTTCGACAAGTATACCTTTTTTTGTAGTATGCTTTAGAATTTACAGAACTGTTTAGAGATGTAATAAATTATGACTTCTAACATATTTTTTTCGATTGTACCCCTTCAATAACCTGTATCGGCGACACTGCTTTTCAGAAAGAACCCGTTTGCATATTTACATTTAACGCACAGTTGATGTTTATTCGTGTACAAATTTTGACATTTTTATCTTTAACCGATTTAAAGATAATTAAGGAAAACCATTTGGAAAGTAACAACTTCAACACACTGTATCTCGAAAACACGGCGTCTAAGAAAAAAACTTTATATGAATTACCTCTATTATTTTTCCATGAGGAACTTGCACACAAGTTTTTTGGAAACATGAACGGGACACCCTGTATATGATTTTTCGCGGTTTTTGGCCAAAAACTGCCAATATCTCAATGAAGATGCACTTTTTCTAAAAAAGCTTCAAATAAAAGTTGTTAAAAATTAAATTTTCTACAAAATTGCCCCTATAAAAAAGTCGATTTTCCCAATAGTTTTCCCGTATATTTTTTAAATTAAGTACAGATTTTATGAAAATGAATGTTTGGAGCCAAAATACTGGTCTATTCATTTTTAAATAACAAAAGTGAACTAAACTAAAGAAAATTCTTGGAAAATTTTTGGAAAATCTTATATAGTTGAGCATCAAACGTATAATTTTATAGGTTTTCGAGGGTGTGCCTACATTACGAATTAATTATGTGCTTTTTAATATTTTCCAGTAAAATCGGTTTCTTTGAAATTTGTTTGCGACAATGATGAAGCAGTTTTACATAAGAAACCTAGATACGGAAGTCCATACAAAATTGTTAAATATATATAATAAATATTGATATAAACTTTTTTTATTATAACTTTTCAGCTCCAGAAAATTATTCTCCTAATGTCATCAAATTTTTATTTTTTAATAGTCAAAGAATTCAGAGAAAACAGATTTTTCTGGAAAATATTAAAAAGCGCATAATTAATTCATAATGTACACGAGATATTAGCCTGAGAATTCAAATGGAACAGTAAAAGTATCACACTGTGGCGAGAGGACGAAGCATTTTCAAAAAAATGTTTCATACAAAAGTTACGTATTTTTTTCCTCAGAATACGAATCTGCAATAAAAATATGGGTTTGCATTTTAAAAAACAACCTTGAAATGACCTTGACAATTGACTTGAAGGTCAATTACAAGTTCAACATAATTTGACCATCTCGAACTTAATACCTTTTGTTCGAAATATTTTTTATAAAAGTAGAATTAAAAAAAATTATGCGGCCTGGTACATTAAAATGTACACCTTGTATATATAATCTCAAAACGCTGTATACTGTAACGCTGTGGTTATGTGACACATGTTTCTGTAGTATTATTTTCAATTGTAACATTCACTATTTACTTACCATTGCAAAAAAGAACTTCTTACTATTAATACAATTAAATTTGAAACCTGCTGCTGGTGTGATGTTGCTGTTGAGCCGGTGGCACGCCGCTGGAGCAGGTAATTTCTTATGGTTTAACAGTATACCTAATGGCAACGTAACGTGTAGGTAGGTACGTGGACATCCCAACCTACTTACCTGTCTTAAGTCTCGACTCAGTCAGTCAGTCATCGCGTGCGTTCAATGAACTTAAAAAAAATATTATTTTACAAAGTTACCCAATACTGCACAGTGTGTACCGGTAAACAATGTGAAAAATAATATCACCTTCATTTAAAACTGATAGTGACTTCAATTAAAAATATCGTGCAGTTTGAGCGACGTGTTGTGTTTGGCAAATATTGCGTATATTCCTAGAGAATTAGTGCGAATATGAGTGTGAATGATAGAAAACCCAAAAGTGTCATTTTGGCGTATGTGTACTGGTTGTTCGGGGGGATTTTGGGCCTTCATTTGTTTTATCTCGAAAGGGACGCTCACGCTTTTCTTACTTGGAGTACTGTTGGAGGTTATGGACTTGGATGGTTAGCCGATATTACCAAAATACCCAGATATGTCAGGGACTGTAACAACGATCCAAAATTTTTGGCGGAATTAGCAGAGAGGATGAGGCGGAACGCAAAGGTAATTTTTTATAATCTTTCTTGGGGAGTTACATTATGTGTGTCCCAATAAAATAGGCAAACAATACAAAGAAATACAAAGCAGTTTTACTACAACAAATATAGACAATTTTTTAAGAAATACACCTAGGCATTATTAACTTAAGTTCCTAGTTATTTTCTGAAAATCAGTATTTAATGGTGATCAAATATCATATGAATTATGTTGTTTGCCATATAATTTCTAAATTTTGAAGAAAATCGGTTTTAAAAATCGAGCGATAATAAGTTTAACAGCAAAGGAATCAAGTCATGATATTTACTTTCCCTGTTCTTCATTCAATTATTAACTTAGCTTGCCGATACAAGATATGTTGGAAAGAACAACAAGACATAGTATTTGTTTATGTATTTTATTATGTAGTATATTATATAATATATATGATATTATATAAAAACAATATTATATAACAGATGCAACTGTAAAATTTAAAATATACCTATTTGGTTTATGTAATTTCTTTATATAAACACATTTAGGGATGTCATAATAAATTAGTTATGTCTCTTTCAACGGTTGCACACTCAAGTATGCAATTATTAACGAAATGGGTAATTTAAAAAAATATGAATTTATGGATTTCAAGTCCTAATATAGACCGTAGGTATATTGAGAAAGAAAGCAGCATTACTGTAAACTCGAATTTCTGAAACAAACTTCAATATTTTTAAAAGTATTTTATTTTTTTAGCGATAATATTTATATTTCATATTCAAAATATTGTACTAAATATTATAATATTAATACTGGGATAGAATTACCTAAAAGTGTTCTAATTAAATATAGGTATTGACAAAAATTATTTATATTATCATTTTCTTTCTTAGTTGGGCATTTTGCCACATGCAAACAAAAATTAAAAAATTTATGAAATATAGCCTTGCCATTAAAGAATATATCGAGGGTTATTTTTATGAAAAAGACAGACAAACACTAAATACAAAAAAAAAAGATATCTCGGAAAGGGTAAGAGATACGAAGTAACTTAAATGGGGGTAAAATTGCGTAATGAGGGGACCAACATTATGCCTCTAAAAAATCAAAGTAACATGACTAGTTTTCGAAATATTTGTAAAAAACCGAAATTTTGAAAATCCATTTTTGTTTCATTTCAGCTTTATTTGAGGTGATATTGAAAAAAAGAAGAAAATGGCACGATCGATTTTTATATGTAACGTTTCGTCTTTCCAGGACCATCATCAACTTCATTTCTTTAAATACATCATAACCCCCAGTACTGTAGAGCCTCAGCACGAACCAGATTCAGACGTTTTGTCTCGAAAAATTCATCTTCAATGTATTCATTCCAAATTTATCTAAATTTTTTATTTAGATTTCTATATTTATTGAATTATCGTACTCTAAATGTCGTTAGACCCTGCGAAATCCACCTGGTTATGTAAATTATTACCATCACATGTTTCAATAAAACATTATTAGAGTCCCATGAATCCCATCTCATATTCATAGTTATTTCTAGGTTTATCGTGTGCTCAAAATTCAAACAAATTTCGATCTAATTTTTTTTAGAATATTCATATAAATACATCAGACATACTCTTTCACAGTAGCGGTTACAGGTATAATAAATTCCGATGATATTATGCTTATCTTCATTTTCAAAGTTTACCAAAACGGAAACGTTTCTGAACATTTATTGTAATTTTTTAAAGTATAACATTCATTTGCAGTTTTGGTTGTTCATATGCAATTTTATGAATTAATTTGTCATAATGAAATTAAAATTGTAATAATGTTTTAGTTTTGACGCAACAGCTTTTCGAATTATGTATGACCAGGTGATGGAGATTAAAATTCTAATAATGTTTTATTGTAACGTGTGATGGTAATAGTTTAAATAACTAGATGAATTTCACAGGGTCTAACGACACTTAGAGTATACGATAATTCAATAAACATAGAAATCTAAATAAAAATAGATAAATTTGGTAGGAATACAATACATTGAAGATGAATTTTTCGAGACAAAACGTCTGAATGTGGCTTGGGCTGAGATAGTGCAGTATTGGGGGTCATGAAAGTTTGCAGAACATGTAAGAAAATTTCCACCGTCATATTTAAAAAAATGAATTTGATGATGCTGCTGTCGAGACGGAACGTTACATATAAAAATTGATTATGCCATTCGATAGAGGGCAAACAGTCGCCATGAGAAAGTGTTCTTCTTTTTTCAATATCACCTCAAACAAGGCTGAAATGAAACAAAAACGGATTTCCAAAATTTCGTTTTTTTTAAATATTTCGAAAACTAATCATGTTAGACATGTTTTTTAGAGGCATAATGTTGGTCCCCTTATTATGCAACTTTGCCCACATTTAAGCTAGTTGGTATCTCTTACCGTTTCCGAGATCCTTGTAGTGCGAAGCGAATTTGTAACAGCCTGTATATGGCTCATATAAAACTATAAATAATATCTAATATTCTTGTTTTTTTTATTATTTCGTGAAATAATATGACCTAAATTTTGCTGTTCGATCGACATTTGCAAAAAAATAATTAAAATTTGCTAAATTGCTATACAGAACATATATTCTTTTTTAATAATAAAAAAATAATTGTTATGACAATGCACCACGATTAAATTGAAAGTGTAGTACTCTTTGAGCATTGGGATATGCCAAAAATTTTTAAAAAATCGTTGAAAACAGACAACGAGCTTCTAGTGGCTGACCTATGACGTAAAAATTACTCTTTTTGAGACAATTGGTTCTTTCAATAACAATTACTTTTGGTCAACATGTAAAGAAGAAGAAAGTTATATCACGGCTATAAGATACTTAAAGAAATATATATTTTGTACTTTTCACACTAATAGGTGCAATAGTGCTCCAGACACTGTCACAATTAATTATATGAAGAAGACAATACTGCATCTACTAAAATTGGCATGTTTTAATAAATAAACCTACTTGGCCCACTTTTTGCTGTTTTGTACATTAGCCTCATTTTTTTGCTAATATTTAGCACCTTAAAAGACAAATGTTTTAGAAATCATTAAAATATAATAAATATATAAATGGATATACTGTTTTCTGTGCCTATTATTTTTTCCATTGTGCATTATTTTGTCATCTGATAAAGCCAAGTCACTAAAGATTCTTAATTTTCAGTTCACGATTATTTGGAATAAAAATATCTATAAAAAAAACTTGAACCTGTCGAGTAACCGCTTTTTAAAAATAATCACCAAAATTATGAGTCACTGTTTGAACCTTGAACATACATCTAGCTAATCTATAAAAATTTGTCGATATTTATTTTGCAGTATTATTAAAGAGGCAACATTTCAACTTAAAACCATGATCTGAACTTTCTGTAGCAATTCTATAGTTATATTTGAATTCAGAATACAAATAGAACTTGATAGAGTCAGAAATTTTAGTAATATACATAAAAACACTTGAATACCTTTAGTACTTTTGACTTAGGGTAGTGCTATACTTAAGTAAAAAATACAATAATATTTTTGATGATTGAAAATTGTTATTAAAAATGTATCAGAAATGAACTAGATACACATATAAAACTTAAAAGATATAAAAATAGTGCTATCCCTTTTCTAATTACAATGATATACGTGTGTTCATAATGAAAGGAAATACGCTCGGATACGTCGATTAGTATTTTTAGGTGACTTTTTGATATAAGAAAATTGTATACAAGGACATAAGCAGTCATCAATGATTTTTTTTAATGGAACACCCTGTATATTATGCCATATTTGAATTGTATGGTAAATACTGGACACTTTTTTACAACATACCATATCTCTAAAATCAGCGATTTTCGTAATAATGACTGAAATTTGATAAATGGAAAAAAAATTAATGTTTAATCATAAAACATTATTTAAATAACAATCGTTTTATAATAAATATCCAATGTTTTGTCTGTTTACTTCAATACATTTTTATAGTCGAAGGATTGTTTCCCGTTGAACGTTTTCAATTACCTCTGCTGGAATAAGCCTTATTTCCTGGCGTTTCTTTTTTCTGTTTCAGGTCATCAAGATTATTTGGTCTATTCACATAAACTTTAGATTTCAAATAACCCCGTAAGAAGAAATCTAAAGGGGTTAAATCCGGTGACCTTGGTGGCCACTCCATAGGACCTTTGCGTCCAATCAATTTATTAGGGAAAGTTCAGTAAAAAAATTGTCGAACTGCAATTGCAAAATGAAGAGGTGCCCCATCGTGTTGGAACCATGTCATTATGAGGAATATCTGAATCTTGTGGATTAGGACATAAAAGCTAAAGCGGGGATGAGTTCAAACTGAAGAAAGTCTATGTAGTATTCTCCATTTAAATTTTCTTCAAATAAATAAGGTCCAAGAATTCGGTTTTCGACAGTACCTGCCCAAATATTTATTTCTTGACGATGCTGTGTGTGACAGACTTGTGTCCAACGAGGATTTTCAGTTGACCAGTACCTGCAGTTTTGTCTGTTTACGTGTTCATTTAAAACAAAAGTAGCCTTATTAGAAAAAATAATCTCGGGTAAAATCTAAGTTTTGATTATTCATGTCAATTATCTGCTCACAAAACTGCGTTCTTATGTCAAAATCGTCTTCTAGTAGTTCATGTATCAATTGAATCTTATATGGATGATATTTATTTTTTCGGAGTATATTTGTGACACAAATCTCGATGACAAATTACAATTCCTGGAGATTGTCTTAACGGCTACATGGGGATTATTTAGTAAAACATATATTTTAAAATCTTCTGATATTTCTGCTGGTCTTCCTTTAGGTAAATCTAACTTGGCCGTGCTCAACAAATTTCAATTCAATTTTGCTGACAGTAGATTTAGTAATTAGAGGTTGATCAGGATAAATTCCATTAAATAAATTACACACTTGATTACGCACTCTGTCTCCAAAACCAATCATCATACGTTCAATCAATCAGATAAATGCATTCTTAAAATAAAGCATAAAACTGACACAGACACTGACAAACTAAACGCCGGTGATAGTTTGGTTTTTACTGTCACAAAATACTACATCAAAATGGTCTAGGGGTCAGGTAATGACAAACTATTAATACGAAGAAAACTGTTTTGTTTAAGATAAAATTTGGCATACCAGGTTGTTTCTGTTGGCTTTTAAAAAAATGTTCAAGGTTGTTCAATTTAAACAATTATTATTTAATTACTTGTGTGTACATATTTCAAAATATCAATTTTCAAACATCATTATTACGAAAACCGCCGATTTTAGAGATATGGTATGTTATACAAAAAGTGTTCAGAATTTACCGTACAATTAAAAGATGGCATAATGTACAGGGTGTTCCATTAAAAAAAAAATCAATGATGACTGCATATGTTCTTCTTGAGACACCCTGTATACAATTTCCTTATGTAAAAAAAATCCGCAACTAAAAATACTAATCAGCTTGTCCGAGCGTTTTTTTACAAAATAATTACCTGAATTTAAACGAATTTGTTTCTTTCATCATGAACGCACTGTATACATTTTATATGTAAGTATATTTACTTTGGTAGTTTGCACAATATTTTGATTTATTTACTGATCCTGCATCAAGATTACCGTAGAATCATCGCGTGGATATGTTTTCTGCTATTAAATTTACTAAACAAATATAAGTATACATTTTCCATTAAGAAAAAATATTTTTTATAAAAAGTTATTTGTAATATCTTCGTCTTGTTCTAGCCAAGCAAGCAAGTTTTTTTACATGGTGCCTTGTTATTCACTTTATTTATTTCGTTCAGTATTTTTCCCTTACGTAAATAAATTATTAGAGTCTTCTTTGTTTACTCTATCTTGCAGAATTACACGGAGGAGAAATTAGGACTTCCCGCGAATACATAAAATTAACCCTAGGACTCAATCATGTTATTAAAAAACACGACAGTATAGTATTTTTTCTTAATAAAGTAATAAGATTTATATAATTAATAGAGCAAATACATAGATATGCATATGTTCGAGAAGTGCAACAAACAATTTTCTTAGATACATTTTTCTTTCAAATTTCTTAAAGCTGCCTTAGCCTTTACCTTTTTTCTTCTAGATCGATGGTTGGAAAAGGTAGGGGTTAAAATATTTTGTGAATTTCCCAGTACATTGAACATAGTTACCTATACATAATATTTTAATTATTACGTTTGCGTATTTCATGGTCATTAAATCGACTTTAGTTCATATTTTTTTCAATATATTTCATTTACTAAGCATTTGGATACAACTATGATTATGTTAATTAAGTCCAAAGTGGTACTTATTAGTCTCAGAAAAAAAGAGTGGTAATTAATTTTATTTTTTTATATTTCTATTTATAAATATAGCAACTCAAATTTTATCATTATTAGATATCTGTAGTTACATATGTCCAAAGTTAAGTAGATGTAATAATAACTTATGATACGATTACAAATTTTTGCTTCCTTCTACAGTCTTTATAAAAGTTTGCAAGCCATGTGATCATCGAGCTTATGCAACTAACATTGCAGGGCTGGTATAGTCTTTCCGATCTCAATTGAAGACCAAAGAGCTACGCGGTATGTACCAGGTTCGGTCGCTACGCTGCAACACGGCATTGAAGTATTTGAAAAACTTATTCCCATATTTATTTAACCATACCCATATACAGGTCTGGTCGCCCAGTTGAGGAATGCGCACGGGGGCAAACGGCGAACAAACACAGCCGAACTGGGCGACCAGCCATAAATTTCAATTGTCGATAAATTGCCTAGCAGTGCACTGCAGGAATGCGGAATTTGATGTGATTCAGGTAATTTTAATCTATTATAGGCACCTTCTATTAATTATTCTTGTTACGACTGTGGTAGGGAGAAATAAGAATGACATTTTGTTTATTAAATTTATTACAACATGGCATTTTGGAGACCTTTTGAAACGGAACAAAACGAAATACCGCTAGACAATAGTCTCATTTTAAATATTTACGATTGTTTAAAAAAGGAATAAAATGAAAAACCAGATAATGAAATTATAAATAGAATTCACATATTAACTAAAGTTTCAGTGTCCACAATTTTTCGGGTTATTAAACAAGCTGTTATAGATCATTGCGTAAAGGGGAAGCGAAAACAAAAATTTAAAATGATGAGAGACGTAATTCGGCGGACAATTTATAATTTATATAAAGACAATTGAGGACATAAATAATTAAAATAGGTTGTTGATCAAATGAGCATATAATAGAAATTTTTATGCCTCTAAAAAATCAAGGCTAACATGATTGGTTTTCGAAATATTTAAAAAAATAACGAAATTTTGGAAATCCGTTTTTGTTTCATTTCAGCCTTGTTTGAGGTGATATTGAAAAAATAAGATCAGTTTCTCATTGCCACTTTTGGCCCTCTATCGAACGTTTCATTCAGACGTTTTGTCTCGAAAAATTCATCTTCAGTGTATTCGTTCCAAATTTATCTAAATTTTTTATTTAGATTTCTTTGTTTATTGAATTATCGTACACTGTAAGTGTCGTTAGACCCTGTGAAATCCATCTAGTTATTTAAACTATTACCAAAAAATGTAATAAAATTTCTAGGGTCGTATTTAAAAAAATAAAGTTGATGATGGAGAGACGAAACGTTACATATAAAATTTTTAGAGGCATAAGGAACGACTATACTGGTAACGAAAATCCCCTAAATCTTGGTGTCGCTAATATTAATGATTCATTTACAATGAACAACGACAAACCGTTAAGTCTACGCTAGAGATAATGCGATCGCTTATTAGTTTAATAAAATCTCGTGAAAAATTATACCAATCACAGCCGGTAGAACACAATGTTGTTTTTTAATGTAATCTTGATCTTGTTGTTTTAATTTTACAGAAATTTAATTGCCAATGTGAAAAAAATAATATTACTGTTCAAAACAACATTACTGGTCATGTGACTTGCAATCATTTATGAACTTTATTTGACATTTGTAAATTTATATAGGCGCATTTTTCTGATATGTTTATTTTCTCTTACAGCCCCCATTTTCATCAAGCAGGTTCATTTCTGCCATTATGGTGTCGTATTTCTGGGGACAACTCATCATGTTGGCCATACCGGAAGACGAAATAGGTGGAATTAACTGGAACAGCATTTTCCACTGGTTCATTCCATTAGCTGTGGCGTTAGGTAATGTATTTACGGTTAATGACAAACATATTCTCTCATCTTTCGAATAAAAAAAGACATAGTATCTAATGACGTACCTACGAGATTTTATAGCAAATCATCTTTTAACGTACAAAAATAGATACTGACTGACCTTGACTGATAATCGCTACAATTGTTCATTAATTATTCAGGAGTTGAATCAAAATTTGGAGATGTTTATCTCACTGTTTCGTAGGTGAACATTTAAGTAGCAAATAGGCGTGCATAAATTGTTTAACGCTGTCGAATATTTAATCATTTATTGCAAATTCTATCAAATAACTCCAAATTATTAACTACATACATACCATAGCTGTAGCTAACAGTTATTAAAATATAAAAAACTAATAAATTGGTGAGTAAAAATGTATTGGTAATAAAATTAATCGTTTCTCAGGTACGAATATAATATTTTCTTCATTAGTTCTCAAGTTCTAATATGGCTTAAATATGATATTAAAGGACGTCACTACCAATGCTCTCACAATTTCTTTTTAATTTTAATTAATGTAATGTAATTTGAACACAATACACATATTTAATTTTCAGAATCTTTGTCAACAATGAACTTATTTTTCCCATTGCGAATTGTGCCTCCGTAGTGTATGAAAAAAAACTACTACAATCAATAACTATTAATATTTAAAAGCTATTACAATCAATAACATTATAATCAATAACGGTGCAATCAATAACACACAATTACACACAACACACAATCAGTAACACACAGTCAAACACAATCACACACAACACACAATCAATAACACACAGTCACACACAATCACACGCAATCAATAACATGAAGCATGTGCTGAGTTTAATTTGAATAAGATGAGCCATATTTAAATTAGGTATTAAAAAAAAGTTTATTAGCTCTGTATTCTTTAACTTTATTATTGAATTTTTTAAACCTGTGTTATATATGGAACTTTTTGATTATAATAATATTTTCGCAGAGCCATTTTCAGGAACTGCGTCAAGATTGTAGAAAAACGCTCAGACCCGTCGATTTTAGATTAAAGGGGGACATTCTTTGCTGGTATTTTTGACTTCTCCATTTTCACCCCCAAGCAAGGGTAAGAATCACCCCAAAATATTTAAATGGCATTGGGGGTTGAGTAATATTTCTTTTGAAAGCTCTTACAATTCTCTTTACAACAGACTTTAAATTTTATAATTCCGCCCAATACTCATTAAGAATTTTGATTTTAAAGCTGAAAGTTATGAAAGTCATTCGAGTTAATAAGTACGCCAATGGTAAAAATTTAGTATTTCTTGCGTTACGTTGGTTTTTGGCGTTGGTTGTTATCATTTTCGTAAAAAAAAAAACACAATTGTAAAAAACAGAAATGAATGTAAAATTAGTGGATTCCAAATTATTTTCTAGTATTATTTGGAAGCGTTGGTTGGTAGTTCATTTAATTGTGTTTTTGAAAATTAAACACTATGGTTTATTCTATTGCAGAAAGGGTAGATATGATTTCGCTTTGCTTTATGAACAATGAATGTGCGAATAGAACAGCTCAGCTATTTAATGAACAACATCAAAATCGACATGTCAGGAGGAAGTATGTTCTAGAGTTAGTAAAAAAATTTGAAGAGACAGGGAACGTAGCCAATAAAAAACGAGAAATTGAAAAACCTATAGTTAATGAAGCTAGTGAAGTTGCACTTTTGGGACAAGTTCATCTTGATCCTACATTAAGTACGAAGCAGCTGCCATCTGCGTCTGGGATCAATCGAACTAGCATACAAACCATTTTGAAGAATAAATTCCATCCATACAAAATACATTTAGTCCAGAAACTTCATGAGGATGATTATGACCGCCGTTTGCAATTTTGCGAAATAATGAGTGAGCGAGCAAGAAATGATCCACAGTTCCTTTTTAACAACTGTTTTTCTGATGAATGCAGTTTTTTCTTGAACGGGATGGTAAATCGTCACAATTGCCGCTATTGGTCCGATTCAAACCCAAGAGTTTTTCACGAGGTGCATACACAGCAACCGAAAAAATTAAATGTATGGGCTGGAATTTTCGGTGACCGGCTGGTGGGTCTTTCTTTTCTACCTGGTAATTTGACTGGCCAAATGTATTTGCAATTACTGGAAGACGCTACTGACCCTGCCTTGACTGATATTATTGAAAATGTTCCAGATTATGATAAAGATCATTTGATTTTTCAACAGGACGGTGTTCCTCCGCATTATGCGTTAATTGCCCGTCAGTATTTGGACCAACGTTTTCTACGGAATTGGATTGGGAGAAGAGAAAGCATTGAGTGGCCTACACGATCACCGGATTTATCGCCCCTTGATTTCTTTTTGTGGGGATACCTAAAAAGTAAAATCTATAAAACACAGCCAGCGTCGCTGGAAGATTTGCGTCAAAGAATCGTCGACGAATGACGTCGAATCAGTCCGGAAATGCTTCGGAATGTGCGCAAACGTTTCGAACAAAATCTTTATTCTTGTATGGAAGCGAGCGGTCATCAGTTTGAACATTTAATCAACTAAGTAGTAAGTAAGCAACTAAACATAATTTAAATTTTAAAATGTAATTTTCTTTCAAAGTATTTGGCGGAATTATAAAATTTAAAGTCTGTTGTAAAGGGAATTGTAAGAACTTTCAAAAGAAATATTACTCAACCCCCAATGCCATTTAAATATTTTGGGGTGACGCTTACCCTTGCTTGGGGGTGAAAGTGGCGGTCAAAAATACCAGCAAAGCATGTCCCCCTTTAATCTAAAATCGACGGCTCTCAGCGTTTTTTACAATCTTGACGCAGTTCCTGAAAGTGGCTCTGTTTCATTTGCATTTGGCCACCCTGTATTTATAGTATATCTTCTCATTGTCAGTCCATGATACAGAAAAACGTAATTCAGAACACATATTATTTTTGTTTAACTAAAGATATTGTGGGAGACTACTACTCTGCGGACTACAGCCCCGTCTAGCATTCAGTTACACCCACAATATCTAGTAAATTCTTCGTAAGCATAATCAATAGGCATAGATCGATTTCGGACTTATTAGCTGTCATCCGTATGCTATAGATAACGGCTGACGAACAGTTTAACTATCTAATGATACTGTCCAAAACAACTACTCTGCGAGCTACAGTAATGACATACACAAGCGATATGTGATAAACAGTTAAGGTTATTCTTCGTTAGAATCACCAGCCCGGTTCGATGAACTATTTAGCTAATTGGATACCGATATATCTCGAGAGTGGATCAGATATAAGCTACAAAATTTAATCTTAATTCTTAATATTACTCAATACCTACTGGCACTAAATATTATTTTTTTCTTACTGACAGAGAAGGACCGACCTACTAAACAGTAACTAAAAAAATTGATTTGCTTCGTGCGACATCATGGATTCATAGTACTTATTCATTATTAGTCCGTTAGGTGCAAAGCATTGATTAACAATTAAGTTGTTACATAATTTGTAGGTTATATCACACCTGCAGTCAAAATAATTGTTTACCATTTTAGCAACTGCGGGATATTTTCTTAAGTATTTATTTATTAAGGAAGTCGACTCCCACAATTTTAACTTTTAAGTGACTTCAATTAAGTAACTTATAACCTCGTTTCGTTTAACTTTCTTCTAGGTGTATGGGTGGTAGGCAACATAGGCAGGGAACAAGGAAAACCATGGCTTACCATACTGGTGTCCTACTTAACATACCTGGCGAGGTGGTACTATTTTGACGAAAATATTTGGCTTACACTAATGGTGTTTTGTTCAGGCCTCACGTTCGACACATTTTCCAAGGAATGGAGGCGAACTCCGAAGAAGAAGAAATCGTTTACTAAAAGAGTGACAGTGTTATTCTTATGTGCGGTTTTGTACTGTGGACTGTGGAGTTCTTATTTGTACTTCAACGGGAAAATAACCGATTCCAACGGTGACGAGATACCCATTCATGAAGCCCTGCATCACTTCTTTACATCACCGTGGTGGACTGACTTGAAGCAGTCCCTCTACGACACATATGTTTATGCCCAACATCACGGGTGGTAAGTTTAAGTTTCCATGGTGAAATTTACTTTATCTGCTCCCACTGTAGTAAATAGACTATTAATACATTGTTTTTAAGGAGGTAAGTCGATTTTACCGTAGAAATGAAAGTTGCTATGGACAACGGGATGTAAGCGAGGTAACTTACCTCCCTAGGAAAAAAGCGATTTCGAGTTATAAATACATATATTGTGAACAAATAAATAGAAATATTTGATGAACATTACATTCTATTAATTATTATGAATGAATATTTATAGTAATTGAACACTTATTACATTTAGTAACATTTATAAAATCTGGATAATTATTCTCCTCGCATCTACTAATTGTCACATTTTCCTCAAAATGATTTGACCGCTCCATTTCAGTCACCGGAGAACCTGGAGTTGAAGTGTCATTGTAAAGAATCCTGTTGGCTATTTCGTTTTTGTTACTTAAACTGTCAGCAACATGACTTTCTGCAATTGTGGCTGATTTCCACCCACCATGTCTTTTGATTGCTAATACATCAACTCCTGTATTAGCCAGTGACGTTGCCGATGTTCTTCGGAATGAATGTCCTGTATATGTTTCTGGATGATCTAGTTTAAAATCTGTGCAATCTTATTGGGAATCATAGAAAGGGTATTCTTGCCAACTGGTTGGTTGTAACATCTACCAGCTTGATACCGCATAAAAAAGCATGAAATTTCAGTATTAATTTCGAATCTAATCTTGATAAATTTCTTGAGAATTTCTAGGTGAGAAACAGAACCCAGACGAGAAGTAATTTTAAACGTACGTGACATACCATTTTTAGAACCTGGAATTGTAAATATAACAATGTCATCGAAATTTTTTAAATCCAAAGTAAGTTTGCATAACTCATCAGTCATTTAGAAATGATAATTCAAAACCAGCAAAATTACAACTTTTATGTAGCTTTGTTTATAGATGCCTTAGAAACGACAAAATTGCAAGATTTCGAAAATGAATTGATTAAGAAATGTCAAAAAATAAAACCTAATCTTTATTTCATGAACCACAAAGAACTGTGGAAGCAGATAAAATGTTATACACCACTGAGCAGTTAAGTAGAATTTACCAGTCTCGGACTCTATTGCGAGGAGTGGTAAATAATGCTTACCTCCTTTGTGGTGTAAATAACTATAAATATATATTCTAATCATAGTCGTTTTGAGCTACTGCTTTTAATCGTAAAGTAAATGTGGATAAGAAGTATAGCACCAAGTTTATACATTTTTAAATCGACGACAAAATTTAAAAAGTAGCCTTATAATTTTTTTCTGTCAAAACTATCGAAGGCGCTTTGCCCCCGGTCTCCTAATGTAGCTGTCGCTATATCTAATACTCTAGTAGAAAAATTTCAATCAACCCATCCATTTTCGAGAGATTCTTCATCATTTATTGGACACCCTGTATATATTTATTTCTTATTTTTATTGATGCAATGAATCAGCAAAACTTGAAACCGGTGTATGGGGAATTTATCTTATAAAAACGATGTACGACGTAACTGTATATTTATAAAAAAATTAAGATCTATGTTTTTAATGTGGAAAGGTCACATTTTCAAAGAGAGTGTATTTTGTTAAGTGGGTAATTAAAAATAAACTTTTTCTGGACTGAGATTGATGTACTTTTTTGGGAAAATATATTGAATCTAAAATATTAATACCAAGCATGTCATAGTCTATCTCATATGTTGGGTGAAGCTAGACAAGGGGAAAGCAGAGGGCTTTATTTTCATCCAACTGATGCGCGCGATTACATCTCCAATGTCGTACGTTTTGGAAGGGTCAAAATAAAATATTTTATAGTCAATAAGTCAATATATTTCAACAGCTATAATATATATAATATTTTTATAACTTCTTGGAATCCCAATAACTGTAACCATTTCTTTCTTGTTGCACCATCCCCAAGCATCCTAAAAACAATCACATTTCACTTTTAGAATACTGAGGCAAATTTTCAGCATATTTTTATGTCTCATAAAAATATATTCCCAAAGGAGAACATCAAATGGTTGAATGAATGCAACTTTCAGTTGATTGCATCTTCGGTAATTTTATGTATATGTGAACCACCACCATATTTTTGCTGTTGTATTTATTCAGTTTTTATGCTCGTGCATTTAGTAAAATTGTAAATATATTTTTGAAAAGGTTTTTGTCGTAGAGGAAAATGAAAATGATGAATGATTAAAATTTGTAATGTTTGGTATAAGGGACAACATTGAAATACCTATAAATATATTAAATATAAATATTGTCTGTAACTTATTTGTGGTGGTTCATATTATTGTTTTCTTACTATCTCAGCAAAAATTTAAAAAAAAAATACCAAGTCAGTTTTATAAAATTTTACCGTTATTCAAATAAAAGTTACCCACACGCACGACAATGGTCACAGTTGCATATACATTCCAAAGTCACCTTCAAGCACGCTTACCTGTGGAAGGATAGCTAATGTGGATGTTTATAATCCAATTTCTTACAAATTCTGCACTGTCTAACCATATTCACACCTTAAAAGTTTATCCAAAATGTATAAACACTAATCACGTTTCACTGACTAAAATCACAACTATTTTCTAACAAGAGACGCCATATTCTGCCAACCACGGCAGAACGAACGAGGAACGCGCTTCAAATTATTGCGTAGTTGCCAAGTCTTCAAACATGGCAAATATGAAAAATGAAAAATAGTTTAATATGTACAGAATTTAACAATATTGTATGCATGACTTAATAATACTATCCTATAATAATAATTTTCACAATTGTGATGAAAATTGCGATAAAAATATTAAGTACATTTCCAGTATAATTATACACCTGACAAGAATGATACAATTAGACTGTGAATAGACCAGGCTTCATCTAGAAATGTAAATAAATAAGTTCCCTTTATTTAAATATCCTTGATTAATACCAAAATATCGTCCCTCTTTTAATATCGGATAATAAAATTTTGATAAAAATATGGTTAGATACATATTTTTCAAGTAATAAAAATGATTTAGATATACTGCAAAATGTGAATCAAATGGTGGCGCTGTAACTAAATATTTAGATATTTCAATTACCAGTTAATAAATTTAATTTTATTATAGGTATTAAAAGATAGTGCATAATAAATTTCAGATCATTAGACAAACTTAAGGCGTTTTTTAGGTCCTCCTCGTGAAGGGGCATAGATAAATATTTTATTTAATACAAAATCAAGTCCAAAAAAATTAGGTTAATAGAAAGACTATAAAATGACAAATTATTCATAAAAATAAGGAAATATTATCACAATTTATGAGGAAGACAAAGAGAAAGGATCTTTCTAGATGAAAGCAGTTTAAGGCAAAAGTATCTAACTGTTCAGGGGAATTAAAATTAATTAATTTTTATGTGTACACCATTTCAGATATTTTCATTATTTAAGAAAGTTCTTACCGTTAAAACGACACAAAGCTAAATACTTCCGAAAGAAACTAAATATTTTGCTGGGTTGCTCATGTTGTCAGAAAACTTTTTAATGCTATGTTTATATAAAATACTCTTTTATTTTTATTTCCGCCGAGAAATTTATTTGAAAATGTGCTTATCTTTTACATGGTGACTTTAAAAGTAACTATTTTTTTAAATAAATTATTCATTCGTGCTCAAATGGAAATATGTCATGAATATAACATATTACCTGCATTAGTTTTACTTATCTGAAAAATGTTATCACTATCGACTGCATTGCTAACGCATATTATCGTAATATTTACAGGATTAGTATTTTTTCCACCTATTTATAAACCAAAATGCACATAGGTTTTTAAATTACATGCGTATGTATTGCTACTATTTGCTTTAAAAGATATAAATTCAAATCAACTTAAATGAATTATATAAATTTTCCTAAGATTCTCATATGATGAAGTCATACATATACACCAGGAAAATTAGCGAAAATAAAAGAGAAACTCGAAAAAAGTCCTATCCGCGAGATTATTGTAAAATTGTCTAAGGGAACATAATCCAAGACATATCTCATCTCGTAAGTCAAAAACATTTATTAGCTAACTTTTCTATTTCAACAAATAAGTGAGGAAAACAGTTTTTTCACTTTGCAGGGAAAACCATCAATTTTAACGAAAAGTAACTCACAGACAGCTTATAGGGAGTAAAATTATCTACAAAATGAGACTTGTTAAATTAAAATCGGTTAATAAACAAAAAGTTATTGCAAAAAAAACAAGAATAGTGCCCATTTTTAATTTGTTTATAACTATTGCATTTATTGTTGAAATTTTATAAAACCTATGACAAGTTGAGGGTTTTGTCATACTACAAAAGTGTGCCAATAGTGGGCGCTGTAGGTGCAATAGTTTTCGCACAATTCTATTTGTTTATAACGGAGGCTCCAAAAGTTACCAAAAGTTATTAACCTTAAGCCTCTGTACAGGTGTTAATTTTCAACCAATCATGATTCTGAAAGCGTTATTGTAATCTTAAAGACGTAATTAAGCGACCTATTAAAAAATATCACCGTTTTTTTGACATTAACATTCTCAAATTGTGCATAAAAGAACCGTACGTTTTTCTCTTATAAACAATTGGAATAACATTGTTGCTATTTATGCTATCTCACCGAAAATAGATGCAATGGATAGTTGGCAAAAAAATACAATTTTAAAATAAAAAAGTACCCTCTACGACCAACAGGAGCCAAGATAAGATTTTTTTTTAAATCGTAGCGCAATTGTTTATAAATATTAAGACTTGAATTTTTCGCAAAATAAAGTTTACGACGTAAATTACGATTTCCCGTGAATTGCATTGAAAAATGTGGAAAATTAACGACTCACGAGCCCTTTAAAGAGAAGGTACTCGCTAAGTAAACTGTCCGTAGGCCGGCGGCGTGGGGAAGCTCGTCCAAGCGGTCGCGCGCGCGAGAAAAGTTAATAAAGATTTACACACAGACGTGTGCGAGAGAGATAGAGCAAGTGCGG